TCAAACAATCGCTGTCTAGCATATCCTAAGCTACGATCTACTATAGGGAAAGGGAAATAACTAAGTATTTCGCAAAGAACATCTTTCCCTTTTAAAACTAATTTAATTTATTTTAAATTAACCAAAATACTTCTCCTCTGTATGTTTCAATTGACTCAATTGAATAAAAATGGCCGCTTTACAATTCAAATAGCGTGTCGTTACGTATTGTGCATTATGGCGGGAGATGGCGAAACGCGAGACTCAATAATCGGATCACAAACGACTCCTATTAAATGTCCAGCAGGATGCAATGTCTACTGGTATTAGATTGTGGTCAGATAAAAAAGATACGATATTATTCTTCAAATTCTTCGTGAAATAGATTTGTTGAAGATGTAACCAAGACTTAAACTGGGTTGTACGATCTTACGTTAACAATACTTTAACTAAGTAGGTATAATAAAACCTCAAAAATCTGTCAAACTCCATACGAAAGACACTGGTTATCGTTATAGTTACCGTTAAGGGTGGCAAATTAGGCTAAGTAATGCTTTTCAGGACGTAGGTGCTTATGAAAACATTTGTTACAGAATTCAAACTTCATAATGAAAATCAGTGAAAATCTCTACTAGAAAATTTATGATTTATTTTCTTTCCGGTAGGTGCATATGAAAACATTTTTCACAGGATTCAAAACCATCTTTCATAATGAAAATCAGTGAAAATCTCTACCGGAAAATGTATGATTTATATTTTCTTATTCAATTTTAGTGCGAAGTATGTAGGTACAGCAATAAGCTACGCATGCATTTCTACAAACATTTCGGCTTCACGCAAATAATCTTCTTTCATGTCACATTATAGCTGTGTTTTGTTTGCAACTCATACCTTTCAATGACATTTTTTGCTTCTTGATACGGTTGCTATTACTTGCTATAACACGAAACCGCATAACGATAGGCGACAGCCAGCATAATGTACCGATACAACAATTTGGAAGGCGTTGAGGTCCTCAGGTTACAAGGATAAGTAACACGACACATCCTACCTGGGACTATTATATTTATAATTCGATCAAGATCTTTTCTTGTGGTATGAAATATGAACTACTGATACCACGAAATAATTATCAAGATTTGTCGCTTTATGCCTCTTTTCATTCAAATAAAGGTGCTTTTGGTCTAACTTTAAATGGATTCGGGACTATAACTTTAGAATGTCGTTGTTGTGTTGTTTTTTTAAGTTCTGATACCGATAAGTTGTAACGCCTTCGCTAACGAAGGTTGACTGTTACGTGATACCAGATCGACGGATTATCTGTGTTGTAGGATTATGGATTAAATAACTGTGTCGCGTTTAAATTAAACTGATCTGAATAGCATTTTGGTTAAACGAAGGAAATTGTTCTAACTAAATCTACCTTAATAACTGTGTGGATTCGTGTTTAATTTTTAAAACGATTTATCTCGGGGAATCTAGCATTATTGTATCTGCAGACTTGTTATGTATTTCGCTCGCCCATATATTGGAAACTACAAACAGGGACTTCCTATGACAATTTTTTATTTAATGAATAATATCAGCTTCAGCTGTAACTTCTACTTACATAAAGCCAACTGGGGAGTATTTTTAAGCAATAAGCAAAGTTAACTTTGCTTGTACAATGAAAATGAACCTATGGTTTGGTTATTACTTCTAGCAACGAGTTAGTCCTCCTTTCACCATACTTACCAAATCACAATACAAAGCTATGATTGACTTGCAACAATGGCGTTCCACGCTGAGCTATTGAACAGCCGAAAAAGCCACGGGGTACATTCGAGTAGGTGTATGGGTGCTATTGTCTCATACAGCGTCTATGTACCCAGATTGTCATGTAAATACGGGGGTGTCATCGCGACGCCTCACAGCTCACAATTATATGTCGCGCTGGGGTGCCTTATGTAACAGTATCGATCTTCACGTCGCTATGTAGCACACAAACACTTTCTTTTCTCTTTCGTCTTTTATCCGGATAATGTTTGTTAGGTGTTGAGTAAGATTGGCCGAACTTCTCTTATAAGATATCTCGTTATACTCTGAAACTGCATACATTCACATAACTGGAAAAATAACATTTTCAATTAAATTGGAATCCTCAATTTGTACTTAAATTGTTTTGCACCTCAGAAGGAAGGTCTGAAACTGTTTGTCATTCTTTAACACCATGTACAGACGACACCACATCCACTAACTGTGGCGTCTTATAGTAAGTAGGTACTACATTTTCGAATAAATACTTACAGGTACGGGACTATTCCTAACTCTCGTTCCCACCGCTGCAACTCCTGTGTAGCCAGGATCTACAGCTTGACCGCTAATAAAAACTCAACCAGTGAAGATCAAGTTTGTCCCGGGGGAAAGTTAAACTGTTATTGGACCCGCAATGAAATTAATCAGAAGAACATAGGAGTTCGATGTTAAGATTCGACTTTCCTCATATTTCCCACATACTTACAGGACATTATATTATGCAACTACTTATACCTTCTCCAAAGGGGTCGCAGCAGACGGCTGGAGGGTGTCACCGCTGAGAACGTGACAGCCGACCCTCGCAGAGGATCTATCCTATAGGATATTTAGGTAGTATAACTAAAGAATTTAGCATACAACATTAGGAAAACGGAACCATAATAAGACCACTTAGTCCACTTACTTTCTATATGCTGTTTTGTAGCAAGTTTTTTTTTAAATACTTGTTTGTGACCCTTTAATAAACAATTGACATTCTGAAAAAAAAAAATCACTTGTAATTATTCTTGTACAAATAGTTTTAAGAGTCGTGTGGGGTGTCAAAAGAAAGACGATATTATTTTTTTACCGACTTCAAAAAATGGGAGGTTCTGAATAAATAAGTATTTTCGCTTGTTTGTTAAGTTAAGTAACCCTACCTCATTAGTAAATTAAAATTGCACATAGAAAATTTTAATACGTCGTCCGTAATTTTGTTTCTTGTAGCAGGCAACAAGATACCTATTTCAATCACAGATTGTAACTGTCAGCAGCATGTTTGCGTCGAGTACCTCTCACTCGATTGAGGCATACAAATAAACAATATCGAATACCGAGTCTAGTGGGGCAAGACGTCTTAGATGCGCATTGAGCAGAATTAATGATAGATCGCCCGGTGCTTTGTCCTGCTGGAAGGCTCTTCTGGAAGGACTGGTCTTTTGTTCTAAACGTCCTGCCAGAAGATTATCGCAAGTCCTGCCCGCAGTACGCAATTTGTACGTGTTTGCTTGCTGGTCCTTCCAGCAGTACGGTGACCTTCAAATTTGAACTCATCCTCACCAGAAGTAGTAAACACTTGGTTAGTGTTTATTAAATAAAAAGTCATGTCGTAGAATCATTTTGTTTAACCAGTATTTTACTTTTCTTAATATATTATAAACTTGTTTATCTTCTTTCAACTTAACTAATAGGAACTATAATAAGGAACTTTAAATTAATTACTTTGGTACGTCACTTTGTATTAGAAATTACACCTATCACTTACAAATACACTACAAATTAAAAACAAAAACAAGAAATAAATTATAAATGTTTGATTAGGCTGGAATACTTCACATTCATTATAATATTATCGCCAAAATGTTGCCGACTCCACGCCCGGCGCGTCAAAATGTGTCGCGCGAGCGCGAACGCGCTGCCCCCGTGTATACTCGTGCGCCATCGGGCTCCGACTAACGGTTAGTCGCGTTTTTCGATCTTGGGCACTATTGGGTGAAAGAGAGAGAAACACTCTATTTTTTCGTGTAAATTTGAAATTTGTACAATGTATACTTACGAAACTGTGATCTTTTAATTTTGCGTCCTACCGGAAGTACTTTAAGTCCTGCTGGCAGGACTCCGGGCGATCTATCATTAAATGTTATACACGATAATGCACTCCTGTGCATGGTGATTGGGCACACTGGTTGATAAGCTTTGCCACGCTTTATTTCTTTATTTAGACAAGACAGAGATTTAAGTATGTCTTATAATACAATTTAGATCAGCGAACTATTTTATGTGATTATGGTAACATTTTAAGGGTACCTTTCTATTGTTACAAAAAAAAAGGGGAAGGAGAAAATTCAAACCATCTGGTTGACGAATGAAGTATTGGGACTCATCGAAGAAGTTCAAGATAGAATCAAATGGCGGCGCATGTTGCGCACGTAACGGAATTTACGGGATAAGCGTAAAAAGAAAAGGGCAAAATTAATATTAGTCTATATCAGGACTAAGGATGTAGTAACAGACAGAATTAATTGAACTAGGTATAGGTACATATTTCGCTTTTAACGAATAGATCGTAGACGTAGACACTAGCATCCGTATCCGTGCCCTGAGCACTAATCAATTTCGTTATGGTATAGTATGGTAAAATGGTTTTTCGTGCTCACTTGCTGAGGGTACAGATTCAGGTTTAAATAATTTGATTGAAACTTATCACCAATTACATAGTGATACATTTATGAACCTTTCCGTTATATCTTTAGCATCGCTGCGCAGTGTGGCGCGCGTCTCACGCGCATCGTTATGCGTGGTGACTGTCCATTTCTGCATTTTGTCGTTCAGCCACGTCTCAACGGCCTTAATGTGTTTTTAAATAAAACTTCCACATTGTGTCTCTTTTAGAATGATTCTGAAGCTTCGGAATTGTTTCTTTTTGGCTCCGAAACTTGAGTAATTGGTGTTGTTGTACAGTCAGCATAACATACCAGTTTTGTTGGAAAATAGCATCTATTACCGCTTCATAAAACGCCACAGTGTAGCAGTCGACTGTACAGTATTTTAACAAGGATAATGTCACTTTATTTTGACAAATTGAGATGAGTTTGAATTATAATTTACTAAGAATACATCGTTATTTTCCCTTTAAGATTAACTTTCTTTTTTTTTTTTTTTTCAAATAAAAATTAAAAATCGGTGCATCATTGATTCGGACCGCACCGATATCCGGCGATGTGTCAATGTCAAACTACCACAACATCCGGCTTCTTCGACAGTCGATAAAACTGTCATACTGATAAGAATGCGCACGAGTGTATGAAACTCGACTTATCATTGTGTTGAAGACCTTTGTGCTTACAGTACGTGGTACTTAGCATGTTGAAATGAGTGCAAAAAGTAGGAAATTGCTGCAAGTGATATCTGGGTGGGAGGCGGTCGAGTTAGTGTTTAGATGCATACTTGTAGGCATATGGCAAATCATACAGATCATAGTGAAAAGAATGTGGAAAGGGCACCGGAGAAAACTAACCAAGAATTTCCCACCGGTTGAACTTTCAGTGGATTCGTCGATAGGGACGCACTGCTATATCAAAATAATGGTATGTAATTTTTTGCAAGTACCCGCAATTTTCGTAAAAATGTGTAGTATGTTTTGTTAGGCAGGTTAGTTTATTATTTGTTTATTAACGTAAAAATAGAAACTTATTAAGTTATCTATTAGGTACTTACTCTTAAAAAATAAGATTAAAATTGGCACGACTGTAGTAAGTAGTTGAAGATAATGAAGAATTCGCATACTATATTTCACTTTTACCTAAACGTACACCTTCATAACTTGTTTTCATTATCAGTAGCATGTACTTATCTATTTAATTGCTTTAAGTAACAGCTTAAGTGTAAACTAAACTGACCTGAAATCAATATTACCGCAACGTTGACCCCACGCGTATCTACTTTCTTTCAGTCACGTCGTTTTATCTACATTAATATGCACACAAAAACTACTAATTATCTTAATCTATTTTTTAACTGGTGGTCTCATGACGTAGTAGCGCAACATTAACATGAGTCCAGGGTTCGATTCGTGATAGAAAAATTAGGAAAACAAGTTTTAGAATTTCCGAAACTGTGTGCTATGACGACAAAACACACAGTTTTGGCACGCCTCTTTTATTACAAATCATCACATCCTCATCATCATTTCAGCCACAGGACGCCCACTGCTAAACATAGGCCTCCCCCAATGATTTCCATATCGCACATTACACGGTGCATCCAGCGCCTTCCTGCTGCCTTTATGAGGTCGTCGGACCACCTAGTACTTGGACGTCCTAAGCTACGTTTTCCGGTACGTCGTGGCCTCCACTCCAGAACCTTTCTGCCCCACCGGCCGTCGGTTCTGCGTACTATAATATGTGCCCTGTCCATTGCCACGCTGCGATTTCTGGTCATAAAAAATACAAAAACAGAACTAATCATACGATTTATAAAAATTACTTTACATTTACTTGCAGGGGGTAAAATATCACTACGTAGAAAGCGGCCCCAAAAACGGCCCAGTGGTCCTCATCCTGAGTGACGCGCCTGAAACCGAGGACCTTTGGGGCCCAACCTGGACCAGGGTGGTCAAGAGGCTGACAGAGAACGGTCACCATGTGGTTACCCTGGACCTCCGAGGCACGGGAGGCAGTGAGGGAGGCAGCCGCAGTGACCTGTCCCCACCTAGAGCTGTGGAGGAGGTGTCAACATTGATGGATGCCCTCGGCGTCACAGAAGACAGGCCTGCCATTTTGATCGGGTTTGGAGTTGGGGGAATGCTCACTTGGTAAGTTATATTGCTTTCTTGAGTTCAGTCTTATTTGTTCCTTCATTCGTTTTAGCCAAATGACGTCCACTACTGGACAAAAGCCTCCTCCAAAGATTTTCACAACGACCGGTCTTGCGCTGTCCACATCCAAGTAGGTATTTTCCAGTGATCTTGACCAGATCGTCGGTCCACCTAGTCGGTCTTATTCCTCTTGTTTGTATTGAGTATTTTAGGAGTAAAATGACTTGGTGTTCGAAGATTGGTTGGATGGACATTGCAGGCTGAATTTATAAACAGAAATACCTACTTATGATTCCGACCTTTGGTTGGAACATTTGAATCATCGGGTCTATTGACCACTTGGAGAATCTTTTCTTAAAAAAAAATATCGACGTGACGAATATTAATCTCGAGCCATCTTACTTTAACGGTAACTATAACGATAACAATTAAGTGTTTTTTGTATGGAGTTTGACAGATTTTTGAAGTTTGTCAAAGTTAAAGTGAGATGGTGCAACCCAGCCTAAGAAGATACGACTAAACGTGTTGCATCAACTTTACGAAGAAATTAAGAATCAATTAGTCATTTGTTTGTTTCCTCATTGTTATGTCATTGTCTTCAGTCAGGGCTGTCCCTGTATCCTATTGTTATCACAGCACAAAGTCCAGGGCTCGGTCTGTATCGCGTCTGACGATTAAATTTATCGTCACTAATTAAAAACGTCATCGTTAAAACCTATCGTGAGTTGGAGAAATGCTGTAATCGCATGTGATAAGTATGGTATTAACATGATTGATTTTGTAACTTGATTTTGGTACTATCTCTTTCAATTGGCAGGCTTTTCTGCATAAATGCATCGCCCCTGTCTGACTCATTCGTCTCATTTCTTGAAAGTTGATATTTCTACCATTCAAAGAAAAGGTGTGTGTTACATTAATCTAGGAATGAGTCAAGTTCTGGTATAATGTGACCATGAAAGTTACATTAAATAGTTTTTTTCCATAGGTAATTCTTTCTTTGTCAACTTGGCCAGATTGCTAGCGTATCGGGCTGTGTGCCGTTGACTTTCATTTAATTGTTATTCATAAGAATGTTACAACTCTTAATATCATTTATTGTAGTCTCATGTCTGGAGAAATCGCTTCCAATAAAACCGCCTTCTTTTATTGATATGTTTCGTGTGGTGTACAGTACGTCTAGGTGCAGACCACCGACTTTTAGTTGGCCGATAAAATTAATCTGTATGGAGATGTATGAAAGTGCGCACATTACACCGGTTGATTCTTCATACTAATTAGAATCGGGCCCAACTCCGTCAATAATTATATTTTCCTTCGTCTCAGGTACTTGGCGCACTGCTACGGGCCGCTGATCAGCAAGTTTGCGGTGGTCGGCGCACCGCACCCGAATCTCTACTGGCAGTACCCGCCCGCTGCGTTTGCGCAGCAAGCGCTGCACTTTATACAGGTAAGATATACAGACCCTGCTTTGCTCCAAGAGACCGAAAAGACTTTTATAGCGAAAAAATAGCTCACAACACCTATGTACATTACTTATGTCCTAACACATGAGACGGTTGATACAGCAACTGTGCTGAGAAGGCGTCATGGCTTTTCTTCATTGCCACAACGCGTAAAGTTTTGGTGATGAGAACCGGGAAAAAAAGTTCATGTGGTCCAATCATTAGGACAAAGACAGTAAGACGTGTGAACACTATAAACCGCAGCAAGCGGAAGGTCGTGGGTTCAATTCCCGCCTTAGGCAGTTCGATTTTTTCAAGTTAGGTACTTATAATTTTCAAAACTATAAACCAAGTTTTTAATAAATTATCACTCAATATCTCGCGTCACTCTTAGGCACAGTTTACCTGCATTAAATTATGAACTCTAGTTAAATTTTCATTGCAAGCACAAAGTAGGTAGATAAGTGTCTGTCTACAAACAGATTGTTACCACATCCAGCTAAGTAGTTTGTTCAATACAGCAATAAATCAGGAATCGCCAATCAGATGTCAGTTGACACCGTTATTACTGTAATTGGCGTAATTAATAACGACGCTAATTAGTAATCGGAGATGTGAGACAATACATCACTGCAGCGAGCAAGTAATCAGCCATTGTCACGCAATGTGAGAATGCGTTGGAAAATAAAATTAACAAGTACCCTAAACTTTCCTAACCACTTAATAGTATGGTTTTTATTTGTAGTTCTCATGCAAATTTTTGCTCGTAAATGAGATGGATGTGTAGTTAAACTGAACTTACAATGTGTAATGTGTTCTCATGTAAACGGTTGATGATAAGTCATTAAAATAAGTACTATCTAGCTTTTGCCCACGCTTCGTCCCGTGTGGAAATAGTGGTTTTCTTCTGTCACAAAAATTTTTGGCGCATTTACCAATGTCATCACGTCTCCAAACTACCAAAATTCTTTTTGGTAGGTAGGTACTTAGTTTAGCGAAGTTTTTGTTTACTTTTCGAGCAGGTAAACACACTACTATAAATGCATGCATTTATTATTGAAACACTTGGCTGGATATGGGTAGTGCAGGACCATTAGAAGAAATGGCAGATTGTGGTTTCGTTCAGTACCTACTATCGGCAACAGTGTTAACTACCCATTGCCTGTCATGTCGTCTTGTTCTATCGCAAAGAATCACCATTTGATGAGAGCGAGAGCAAAAACGGAAATGGATAGTCTATTTTTTATCCTTCTGTTCTGATCTGTTGTATCCTTTTTAATGTGTTTTGGCAAATAACTTTGAACTTACCCTGTTCCTCGTTCCAGTGGCCCCACTTCCCTGAGAGGTGGCTGGCTGAGGGCGAGTTCCAGGGCGGGGAAGAGGGACGCTGGACCAGCTCCCGCGCCTGCGACTGGACTGGCGCGCTCAACTACGTCAGAGGTATGTCAGGAGCAAAAACTCCTAGGCAAAGCTATAGTTTGGTCTGCGAGCACGTAGACTTTTGTCCAATGACCCAAAGCTTACCTAAGTCTGTCGCCATAACAACAATGTTAACAGCATTATCGTGTTCCGGCAGTTAGAGGTACCTAAGATAGCCTGTTCTTCCGTGGTTGAGGATTCCGGGTGAAGCTCGCTTCCACTTTCGGCCTGATCGTCACTTACCATCAGGTGAGATACAGGCCAAGAGCTTCCTCGTTGTGGATAAAAAAAAGCTACCCATTCTTATCGCTCGCGCGTAATTATGTTGCTATCGCGCTCGCACACTCACTGCAGGCAGGCGCCCGTCGCACAGTCGCGACAGCAATATAATTACGCGCGAGCGATAAGGATGGGTAGCTTGGGGTCATTGGACAAAATTCTACGTGCTCACAGACCGGGCTTTAGATAGAATTGAAGGCCAATAGAATTTACTTTAAGCCTACCTTCACTGGTTGGGTTTTTATTGGCGGTCGAGCTGTAGATCCTGGCTACACAGGAGTTGCAGCAGTGGGAACGAGAGGAGAGGAATAGTCCCGTATTTCAGCCTTTCTAGTGCACCTTTAAATGGGTGCCAGTTTGGAAATTTTAGACTAGGTAAAATGGCTCACAAATTTTTCTGACACCTTTTTAGCAACGACCGAAATGTAGTCGGTGAGATACAATTGAGAAGCGATTATGTGACCTAAAAAGGGCTTGAATAACCCTAGATACTTACTAAAAAAATTAATTTGCTAAAATATGTCGCCAACCCAGCCAGCAAAACGATAAATAATCCTTTTAGACCAGGCCAAATCCTCTTTGTTTCTTGTATTAGTAAAGATCGTTCTTCTGCAGTGAAGACTCAATGTTCTGATGTTGATGGAAAGATGTTTCTGCCAACAGGAGCAGCGTGGTGGCGCATCAAGGAAGGCCACCGCATCGACCCGCCTGGTTTACTTGTGGGAGCCCGCGACAGCGCTGCGCAGCTCGTGTCCAGTGCTCACTACTGCAGCAGTTCTACCCTAAGGCTGGTGTCCAAGCCAGACCCGTCTGATATCGAGCTGCCGGCTGCTATGCTGGACTTCCTGATCGGTGAGTGATGGAACCTTAAGAGCGTTTACGCCGTTTGGCGCAAAAACAGTACTTTTTCAACTCGTTACAATCGTTAACCAGTAATACTACAAATATGTTATAGGCATAAATAGTTAGGCAATCTCGTCGTCTAAATAGTTAATTGAGAAAATATTGCGATTAGTTTAGTATTTAAGAATTCTATCAAGATAAGTCCACACAGGTTTTGTAAATTTCCACTTTAGCGTCAGTTTACAAGCTGAAATTTTTATAAAAATACTGTGAAAACGATTTAACAAACATTTATATCCTATAGCATAGATCCTTGGGCAAATAGTTATCTGAGAAAATTTTTAGATTTAAGCATTTTACAATAAGAAATCACAAATTAAAAGAACATGAAATACCCAAAAATCAAAGTGATTTTTTCACCAATATTCTTCCTTTATTCAACATAAAAATAGCTTAATATAATAAAACAACATCTTCTTTAAAATATTTACTTTGAAACGATATTTAATTCATTGTTATTGTTTTGCTATAAACATTTGAAAACTATCAAAAAACGCCGCGCGCGAATCATTTCCAATGATGCCCCTTGAAACGCCGCGCTTCGCGTAAACGCTCTTAATAAAACAGCGCTAAAACTGAGCTAGCTCTACGCTGCGGCTGGTGTTCAATTCTGACCCGTCGGATATCGGCTGGTGTCCAAGCCAGACCCTTCTGATATCGAGCTGCCGGCTGCTATGCTGGACTTCCTGATTGGTGAGTGACGACTGAATTAAGACAATCTTAAGTAAGAGTGAGAAATACATCCTGCATCTTCAAACCTTTCTTAGGCAGATAAGACCAGTCACTAAGATCGACTCATTCGACATCGATCTGCCTGCGACTTTGCTGGACTTCTCTTAAATTAAGAAAGCCAGGCTCGTCGAATATAACTACCGGCTGCTATGCTGGACTTCCTGATTGGTAAGTGACAGCTAAATCATAAAGGCTCAAATCCCGTCAGGGCTACTGGTGGTCCGGTGGTGGATCCTTAGCTCGATAGAACTCCTGCATACCTACACTCAACTCTGAGGACGGTAGAGATGAGACGTATTTACTAGAACAGATCCACACACTAGGTATTTTACAGTACTAAGTGGCACCTATTCCAATTTTTAAAATACTTGATCCACCTAGTATTTTTTAAATTACACGATTTCCGACCCTACCATCAAAGTAATAGAGGTTATTATTGCATAATACGTAGTCGTGTATTACACGCACCGCGTATTTCTCGCTAAGTATTTTTTAAATTACACGATTTCCGACCCTACCATCAAAGTAATAGAGGTTATTATTGCATAATACGTAGTCGTGTATTACACGCACCGCGTATTTCTCGCTAAGTATTTTTTAAATTACACGATTTCCGACCCTACCATCAAAGTAATAGAGGTTATTATTGCATAATACGTAGTCGTGTATTACACGCACCGCGTATTTCTCGCTAAGTATTTTTTAAATTACACGATTTCCGACCCTACCATCAAAGTAATAGAGGTTATTATTGCATAATACGTAGTCGTGTATTACACGCACCGCGTATTTCTCGCTAAGTATTTTTTAAATTACACGATTTCCGACCCTACCATCAAAGTAATAGAGGTTATTATTGCATAATACGTAGTCGTGTATTACACGCACCGCGTATTTCTCGCTAAGTATTTTTTAAATTACACGATTTCCGACCCTACCATCAAAGTAATAGAGGTTATTATTGCATAATACGTAGTCGTGTATTACACGCACCGCGTATTTCTCGCTAAGTATTTTTTAAATTACACGATTTCCGACCCTACCATCAAAGTAATAGAGGTTATTATTGCATAATATTTTTTTACTATTTTTGTTGGGGACTTTGAATGCTATGGGTTACATATAAATACAAGTTTTTTCAAGTTTTCACTTTTTGTTCTGTCGTGCTGAAAGGGTTAAAGACATTATAAACTAGCGAAAAGCTATATCGAAGAGCTGATGGCCGCTGGGGCAGGAAAGTTCTTGAGTGGCGACCACGAGCCGGAAGACGTAGTGTGGGCAGGCCTCCCACTAGGTGGACCGACGATCTGTTGAAGGTCGCGGGAGGTGCCTGGATGCGAGCGGCGCAGGACTGGTCTTTGTGGAAATCCTTGGGGGAGGCCTTTGTCCAGCAGTGGACGTCTTTCGGCTGAAACGAACGAACGAACGAACGATAAAAAGTCAAAAAAAGTCAAAGTCAAAATTNTTTACCTAGTATAACCCATCTCTAGAGGACGGCTTCATCGAGCTGTCAGTGGCTATACTGGAATTCTTAGTTGGTAAGTGTTGGCAAAATTAGAACCCTTAGAAAAACGTGGAATGGAACTCGACGTACTCTGAAGCATGCGGTTGAGAAGGTAGTTTAAGAAATAAACTAAATTCAACATACAAGTAGACAAATCAAAAAAGTCTAACTCACTAGGGTAATCGGAATTTATCCAATTTCTTTGCCCCTATTACACAGTTTAATCAAATTGAATTTAACTTGACATACAAACAAACTTGGTAGATAAGAAGTGCGTAAAGCATGGGCGCCACGTGATCGTGGAGGTCACACATCGTAATTCCTAATCGTAAACTTATGTGATAACTGACAACTGGGAGTCATGCAATCAGTAAACTCCTCTATGGGTTAGTATAAAATAATGCCACCCTACTCATTTGTGAGAACTAAGCCACAGGCGGACATGCATATGAGAAACTAGCTGTGCTCGCGACTTCGTACGCGTGAAGATGTAGTTTGAATAATAGGTATTTCCCGTTTTTGCAATATTTTTCTTCACTGTTCCTCCCCTATTAGCTATAGGGAGATGTTATATAGCCTAAAGCAGAGTTTCACACCCAGTGGTGGGTCGCGAACGAACATTGAGTGGGCCCTGCCTGTAGAACGACACACCACCCTACCGATATAACCGCTGGGCAGCGGGCGAATTTCCTATAGGTGGGTCCCGAGTTTGGGAACTAGCATTAGATGAGTCGTAGCCCAGACAACTTTGGGAACCACTGGCCTAAAGCCTTCCTAGATAACTTTAAAGTCCTCCTTAAGTCATATTTGGAGTTGCAATGGTGGGAACGAAGGTTATGATTGGCCCTAGCTCTAATTAAGTAACTCAGTTACATAATTTATAATGACAGCTTTTATTGGCGCGGACTTTAACTACTTATGTATTTATTTAAATCCGGGTCCAACAAACGGAATGCAATTAATCGTCCGAGTTACGACATTCGTAATTGTTTTGTAACGAAAGATAAGTATTGTTAGGTACAAAATGTATTTTACGACTTTTAATACCTATTGATATTTACAAAGCACTTAATGTAGTAATAATGAATTTTAACTATGATGGATCATGCTTTCTGCTATTTTCATATATTGCTTATTTACGTCCTGCCGGCATAACGGCACATAAAGTTAAATAAGATAGTAATCTTATACAGGGTGTCCCAAAAAGTAGTGTCAAGCCGAAGCCCAGAGGTAGAGCATCACTAGGGCTACCGGAATCACCGCGACTTTTGATAGTCTGCGAATGATTTTTTTTATTTAAACAGGATCTTTAGCGTTTTTAGTATACATTCGTGTAATGGACACCCTGTGTAACCAAACATTATTTAAGTTATTGTGCTGATTCATAAAAAACATTGTACTACATTATCTCTGTGAATAAATAATTATCTATGAATCTTTGAACCGTAGATACTTACAGTCGACAGCACATCAGAGTTCAAACTATGCATTATTATTAATATTGCAAAATAACACTCATCTACCTACATATCACGCCAGTGAATAGCTTGATCTGCTGTTGTATATACCCTATAAAACATGATAGTAAGTAACGCATGACCCTTATCGTTGACGCCGGGCTTATCAGTCAACCTGGGGCTATCAGGTGCACCGCCTTGTTTACTCGTAATGAAAATAATTTTATTTTAATATTATAATATATATAAGTTACCTATATTTTCAACGAGATAAGTTATAGATACTTATTTCACGTAAATTGATAAAAAAAGTCTAAATTTGGTCTAAATTAAGCAGTCGCTCGGCAAGCGAAAGGTCGTAGGTTCAAATCCACCTAAGTCGATTTTTAAATGTTTTATTATAATTTTTACAAAACACGTGTTATTATAATAAACCGGTCACAAACGTGTCAAGATCTGTACACACAATTGTATAAATTTTTGGTCTTTGCAAACACGGTTTCCATTCCCAAACATATTTCACCACTTCCTTTGAAGTGGAGGAGCTTCTTTATTTATTTTCTATTTTATTCAACTATTTATTTTCTTTTCCAGCTACACCCAAAGAAAGGCCGATAGAAGAGGTAACCTCCCGAGGTCTGGTGGGTCGAATGCTTGGAGCAGTTGCCGGTCGTGGAAGAGAGCTAACTGCTAAGCTCGTTCTACCAGCGCAAGCGTAGTTGTTACGTCATGCGCAATCGTGGTAACTTCTTACATTTTATATCGGTTCCAAGGTTGTTTATTGTCTCTAGAACTATTGATCAGAAAGAAAGAAAACATGTTTGTTGGGCCCCACCAAGGAATAAAACAAAACAGAAATAATTAGGAACGCACCAAAGCTGATTCCACTTCTTCTTTTCGTGCTTTTCGTGTCGACAACAAACCTACACAGTGTCAGCCCATAACTCCGCCACAAGAGTGGCGTTGTCAGTAGCACTCATCAAATCCTCCTGAGTGCTTGGGCACTCAGGGCATGACACTCAGTGTATGGGATTAAGTGGTAAAGACACTGGCAGGGTTTTTCTGTTAAGCCGTAGATCTCTCATTTGATTCTGGTAAATGAGAGGTTATGCTCTTGCAATTGAGACTAACGGACCAGTAGGTCTAAGATGAGCGCCGCGTTAAGCGGTTATCACGCCATTTTATCGATTTTGCCCATACATTTTGACGTCGATAAAAGTTATCACGGCGTGCATCTTAGGCCTACTGATGAAGCTGTAGATTCTGGCTACACAGGAGTGGCAGCAATGATGGAAAGAGTTTTTGTTAATTGGGACCATACTTTTTTCTGGTAAGTATAGTTTTAGAGATAGGGTCATACCAAAAATCGGACAAATCAAATGTTTTGTCCTCAAATCAAACGTTTTCAGTGTGTCTACTTAAATAAAATACTCATACTATATCTTGTGTACAGTGTGAGATATTCCTGGTGTTATTAGAAGTGAAAAATAATTTTAAATATCGTGTAAGTGGTTTATTGAATGCAATTATTTGAATGTTGTTTGAATTTAATTTTATCAATACAGATTTTTTATATTTTTTTATAATTTTAATATTTTACGCTGTTCTAGCAACCAAAGATAGATGCATTAACAATAAGAAATGCGTTATTAATTTATATTGTTTTACGAAATAACTTTTGCTGGTTTTGTAATAAAACTACGTCAACAAGTGCAAACGCTTTTTTAATGCAATATGCCCACCAAAAGCTAACCATTTATAAATTTTCACTATCAATATATTATATTCACAAGTCAATAGATTTCGAAACTGTCTACAACTGCCTACAGTACAGCGCATTGAACTGCGCGAATTAAGGGTTAGAGCACACTTGATCGCCTTCGCACTGAATCGCCTTGAATCATCTTTTCACTTTGTTATTCTTTAATCTACAGGGTGTCGCTTTAAGTATGGATCAAACAAAAGAATTGATTCTACTAATCGAATGCTAGAACTTTCCAATAGAAACAATATCCAAAAGACATCCCCATTCTAATTGGCTGAAATTTAGTGATGACAATTTGTGTTTGAAGGTTTTTTTAAAGATTTGAACCTCCTCTTGCTTTATGTCGTAGAATCGATCCTTTTTGTTTAACCCATTCTTAAACCGACACCTGTACAGCTAGAGAAATTAAAGCTATAGTGGTAAGAAAATGGCGATGCAATGCCGATATGTTGCCGATGTGATAGTGTGTAATAACCCTAAAGGAAGATATATTATATCACATTAAATAGTTGCCTACTGATTGTTATCTAAATATGTACGTCTGGGTCCATATCACACTTATTCTCAATGGATTAACACAAAAATCTACATAAAATACAAAAGTTTTTAAAAGTCTACCCTTAATTTTAAAAACTAAATATAGTCGGACGGAAAATAACAATAAAAAAAAACGCAAATAACCTAATGGAATCCTTAAAAAAATAAAAAAATCGCTTCGCTTCATGAAACTTATCAGAATATAATGTGTAAGAAAACATGTATAATTGTAATCAGTATAAAAATAAGTTAATAAATGTGATATGGCACCAGTCAAAGCATTAGTAGTACAGTCAGCTCCCTCGTAGACGATAATATGAAACATCAAGTTAGAATCAAGAATCAATCTTAACATTCCAACATCAATATAGTTCTCTCCATCAACAAAACGAGATTATTTTACACAAGATCCGTCAATGTGGTCTACATTTTATGTGCACTCAACGTTAAAATTACCATCCGTCTGCTCGTTTGCCTCCTGTCCCATAAAAAAAATTAAATAACTGTTGAAAATGATATAATTTGTTGTTTTTATTTTACTGGTCTGTAGGCCTAAGATACGCGTCGCGATAAGCGGTTATCACGCCATTTTATCGATTTTGCCCATACATTTTGACGTCGATAAAAGTTATCACGGCGCGCATCTTAGGCCTACTGATTATTTTTGTTGCGGGTCCAATGACAGTTTAACTTTCCCCCGGGACTAACTTGACCTTCACTGGTTGGGTTTTTATTGGCGGTCAAGCTGTAGATCCTGGCTACACAGGAGTTGCAGCGGTGGGAACGAGAGGTCGGAATAATCCCGTTGATTTGGAAATATATTAATAACATAGCCTGGTGTTAGACATGGAGACGTATTTCGTGGCCATTACAGTTCTATTTCGCATACCAGTAGACACGATACAATATGTGTAAATTCGCATGCGAATAAGAACTCTATTGTTTTAATAATAAGTCATGTTGGAAATGGCAAAATGTATTGTTGAGTGCACATAATTTAACAGTTTATGTTGTCATCTTTCATCTAAGGCCTCAAAAACAAACTCAAAACGCGAAGTCTCAAACAAAGGTCTTTTAAGCGAGATTGTGATCATCCAAAAAAATACTGTAAGCACAGTATACATCTTAGTGCTTTTGTTAATTAGGCTTTCAATGAAAGACGACCTTATTTCCAATATATTTAGGCCTAAACAAGACAAAATACAGGCACAAGTTTTATATGTACTGCGTTTCTTAACAAATCTACGGATTTACCAACGGATAGCTATACTTTTAGGCCCAGAACAGACGGTGAAACGCAACTGCAACGAAATTGCAACTGCTAGTTACTTTTGAGTTGCATCTAAGTTTCTGCCATAGCGTCCGTTGAGGGACCCGTTTGAAACTTTCAGTTTCAGTTTCATTCATCAGAAAGTTACAGTTTCGTTGCAGTTGCGTTTCACCGTCTGTTCTGGGCCTTATGCACCAAACTTCGTGATATTGTTCTTAAACATACTATTTGATGGATGATAGGTTTGTATGAAGTATTTATGGCGAAGACTAGAAGTAAGGCGGGTTTTAGATTCAGTCGATTTTATATAGAACACAATAAATTATTGTTTACTGTCTTAATTTCGTAGTGGCATTACGAAATGAAATATCTAATACTAAACAGAAGGCTGTCTTACGTTTAATTTATGTATAGGTCCAGCAATGAGGGCTATCGTTTTTATTCTTAACAGTTGGCACCCCTGGCAATTGACAGGACCTTACTCTACAGTGGCGCCATCTTGATGAGTGCAATTGCGATAGTCCTCCTACCACTTTAGCGCTCACCAGTTGGTGCCACTGTCTTCGCTACTAGCAAGTGACAGGACCTTACTCTACAGTGGCGCCAATTGGTGAGCGCTAAAACGATAGCCCTCATTAACTCAGTGCCTGAGGTATAATAGCGGAACAGGAAGGTGATTTTGTGACGGTCAAACGTCAGCGCCGTTTCAGCACATAATGACAACTTCTCAATATGACAACCAGGTCACAAAATGTTCACTTCTTGGAATGACTTCTTAAAATGTCAACTTCACTAAAAGACAACTTCACATACGTTTCAGCTCGGAATAACAACTTTTCAAAATGACAACCGGGGCGCAAAATGTCCACTTCTCGAAATGACAACTTCTTAAAATGTCAACTTCGCTAAAAGACAACTTCTCATATAGATGACCCACGCTGAACTGTCCCACCAAACTCAATGACAGGGGGGCGCTACCATCGTTCAACTATAATGGTTTCCAACATGTCAAAAATCGGAACTAGCGATCCGGTATTGACGGTGGCGCCCCACTGTCAATGTCATGCATAGGACAGTTCAGTATTTTGGAACTATATCCACTTCTTGGAATGACAACTTCGCTAAAAGACAACTTCTTATAATGTCTATTTCTCACTGTGACAAATTCGCATTTAGTCAACTTCGCATAATGTCAACTACTTGTTGATATTTTATACTTTCATTAACGTATTTCTAGTTCTTCTAGAGTTGTCATTATGCGAAGTTGATCAAATGCGAATTTGTCATTGTGAGATATAGACAATATGAGAAGTTGTCTTTTAGCGAAGTTGACACTTTAAGAAGTTTTCATTTCGAGAAGTGGACATTTTGCGTCCCGGTTGTCATTTTGTGAAGTTGTCATTATGTGCTGAAACGGTCAGCGCGGGTTCAGAATTGTATGTCACGTCATAATATGTCAATGTCACCTTTCTAGTGCCGCTCTCATACCTCAGGCACTGAGTTAAGCGCAACACGTTAAAACATTTTAGATTGGCTATTGTATTATTCATACTATATTGTATATTTCATCAAATATTTGCATTAAAAAATCTTTAGTACATTAAAAATTCCAAATGTCTGAAATGGAAGATCAGAACACTGCAACATTCCATTATAGATTTGGCACATTACTATTAGTAGATTAGCTCATACCTTTACACAACACAGAAGCTGTCGCCACTCACTCAGTAAACTTAAAAATAAATAACTTTACAATATACTATAATACACGTTAGCAGCTATAGTCCGGTCACCGAGCACGTAGATTTTCGTCCAATGACCCCAAGCTACCCATCCTTATCGCTCGCGTGTAATTATATTGCTGTCGCGACTGTGCGACGAACGCCCGCAGTGAGTGTGCGAGCGCGACAGTAACATAATTACGCGCGAGCGATAAGGATGGGTAGCTTGGGGTCATTGGACGAAATTCTACGTGCTCGGCGACCAGACTTTATACAAACTTAAAATTAATGGCACTAATTTACGGGCGACAGTATTGCAAACGTCAAGGTAGGATTACGTATTTATGATGTCATTTATTTATGTATACTCTACGGCATATGAATACTATGCCGTAGAGTATGAATGAATGCGACTTTGTCCCACACACCCCACGTTCGCCCCGTCCGTACCAGAGCGGCGATGTGACGTCACGGCTGCCAGGTATGCAGTTAACTCAACCGAGTTGTAACAGTACATGCAGCGTGTGATCACTTATTACGTA